CTCCCTCAGCCTGTCCTCGTAGCAGAGGTGCCCCATCCCCCTGATCATCCTTGTGGCCCTCCTCTGGACCCTCTCCATCAGGTCCATGTCCATCTTATATTGAGGGCTCCAGACCTGCACACAATACTCCAGGTGAGGTCTCACCAGAGCAGAGTAAAGTGGCAGAATCCCCTCTCTGGACCTGCTGGCAACGCATCTTTTGATGCAGCCCAGGATGAGATCGGCCACCACGCCCCTCTTTCTCCTGGGTTTCTGCAGTTTCCAGCCAAGTGTTCCACGTTCTTGCATGGTTTGTTGTAAGCTCATATCATGCGTGGCCAGGGCTTGCTGACTTGTCAAGAGGTTTGGAGCAAGCTGTGGGGACAATGTAAAGACCAGAGTAGGGGAAAGGAAGGAAACTGCCTGTCCCTGTGACAGCATCCACCCAAAAATCATTGCGCATCTCCATCTCTGCAGATGCAACACTGGCCCCACAGCACTGTGCTTGGACTAGGTAGTTGGTGGCCACCAGGTAGAACTCGGAGAATTATGTGCTTGAAGCCATCAACTCAATGAGGAGCTCAGGGCTGATGGCAGATCTGTAATGGCTTGGGTTGGAAGGGACCCACAGGGACTATCATAGACCTGTAGGGCTGCCCTTCCTGATGGCCACAGGGACCAGTCGTGGTAGAGCATCACTTGGGTTCATCCTGAGGATGTTCAGAACCTGGAGGAGGGATGACACCCCACAATGAGTTTTGCCTGATTGGTGGGAGAAACACATTAAGCAGGTGGCATCTTCAGCTTTGGCAAGGTAGGACAGTGCTGGTTGGGCTCTCTAGACCACTGCTTTGCCCCAGGTGACAGAGTGGAGCATGGGATGGCTTTTAGCATCATTGGGGTGGTGAACACCACCAAACTCATTCTGGGGACCCTCTGGAGTCCACTGCTATTCATCAAGGAGTTCTTCCAGCCACGTAGTGGGGTCAGCACACACTAACTTGCCTGACCACATGGTGGGCACCATGCCTCAAAAAACAACCCTCTCCCCACATCCCCAGGGCACCACAAGTTTTTAAAAGACCCATAAATGCTGCAGGGAGCGTAAATGTCTCCGCTGCCTTCGTGCAACGTAATCGCCCAAACCCCCTCAAACCCCCTCGATGACATAACCTTTTAAATCACCGTCGGTTTTTAGTGGGGCCGTAAGCGCTGAAACCACTAATAACACACAAGGGCAGACGTGTGCTTGTTCATGAAAGAACTTAAGCCCTGACGTGTCCCTCTGGCTGTTTGGGGCTTAGGGGGACACACCATGAGAGAGCAGAAGCAGCCACTGGGCTGTGGTGGGAGTTACGGGGTCCGGGTTCCTGCAGGTCCAACCAGGGTTGGAGCTCAGTCCTGCAGGACCAGGCGATGCTTTTTGATGTGAACATTAAGGATGACTGAGCTGGGCTTTCTGGCCAAAGCCCTGTGGTTGTTGGTGATGATTATGGCCATGGTTTGTCCCACAGGTCTTGCCACAGGCTGGCCTTGTCCTGCCAAAATATTGGTGTGTAACCAAGGGCTTGGAGATGGAGGGGGTTGCTAGGGACCTGCTAAAATCCCGGGAGAGAGGAGATCTCCAAAGGGGATTTCCTTCACCAGTCATGTTGGGCACCATCTCATCCATCTTCCTGTGCCACGGCAAGGTTAAACCCATGCTGATGTGGTCATGGTTGGATCGTTTGTGGGACAGACACCTCCAGTTCAGGAGCACAGCTGGAAACTGGCTCTTCTCAGGATGATAGGATCAGGGAGGAGAAAAATACATGCTTTTGTGCATTTGTGTGCAAAAAAAGGATGAGGTGGACTTGCTGTCCCCATGGACAGCCCCATAAATGAAGAGCATGGTTCAACCCAACTCCAGACAGGATAATGCCATGTCAAGCTCAGTAAAGCCAAGGGGCTGAGCCTGGTGGGACAGAGCAAGCCACCACAGTCCTGCTCCTCAGGGTGCTCCTGATGTTCAACTGCCTGTGTACTGATAGCTCTTGTCCAGGGGTCCTTGACAGAATGAGCTGAAGCTCTTAAGGGAACTAAGAATGTGTTTCTACCCCAAAATATCATTTATTTCCTCTTTGTTTTGGGTAAGAGTGAAAATGTCTCCTAAATTCAGGTTCTCCTATCCCCTCTACCACTCACAGCCCATAGCATCACCCTGAAATCACCTGTCCATCTTAAAGTGAGCATTTCTACTGATGTATTTGAGAGAGAAAACTCTAATTTATGCCTCAAACCCACCCATTCTGTTCCTTGCCGGCAAAGGGAGTCCAGCTTGCACAGAAGAGTTGCCAGTTGGTCAGATGGATCCCAGGCTAAAAAAATAACAAATCATGGCAAAAAAATGGGTTTGGGGGAATGTATTCAGTTGGGGTTTGGTGGATGGGATGCGGCTATTAGCTGCTCATGGGGGACAGCACGAAGACATCAAGCTTCGTGGTTTGGGTTAGAAGGGACCTTGAAGATCATCTAGTTCTAACCCATGGGCAGGGCCACCTCCCACCAGCCCAGGTTTCTCAGAGCCCCATCCAACCTGTCCTTGCTCTTCTCATCACGGAGGGAGGAGAGCTCTCCCAAGGACCATCCGTTTCTCTCACGTAGCTTCTCCTGGTTGACTTTCAGGGCCGGATATGTTCTGCGACTTCAACGGCAAGAAGTACAGCCCGGGCGAGAGCTGGCACCCCTACCTGGAGCCACAGGGGCTGATGTACTGCATCCGCTGCAGCTGCTCTGAGGCATGTCCCCCACAAGGTTCCATGGGAGGTGGTGGGGATGCTGCTATGGTGGGGCATCTCAGCTTTTAAGTTCTGGTGTCTAATTTGACCAGGGAAGCCCTGTCCGGCCCCTAGGAACAATGGGTTAATCTCTTTCCTTTTGAAAAAGCCCCATGTGCCCCAGGGACAACCTGTTGGGTTGACCTTGTGAAGGAGATGTCTCAGTGGTGTGGGTGGAGGTGGCTGTGAGATCACAAATGATCTTTGATGATGAGAGACGGACCATGAGCTGGATGGATTTTAGCTGGGGATGGAGATCATAGAATCATAGAATGGTTCGGGTTGGAAGGGACCTTAAGGAGTCATCAAGTTCCAACCCCACTGCCATGGGCAGGGACACCTCCCGCTAGACCAGGTTGCTCAATGAGATGTCCTTGGCTGGGTGAGCTACACCAGCACAATCTGCTGTGATAATGTGGCCATCATCCACCACCTTCTTCCTCATGCAAGGGTGATCATGTAGCTGAATGAACCATCTTTCTCTCTGTATCTCCCCAGAACACCAACATCAGGTGCTACAGGATCCAGTGCCCAGCTCTGCAGTGTGCCAGCCCCATCACGGACCCCCAGCAGTGCTGCCCGAGGTGTCTTGGTAGGTGGACATCCCGTGGGGAGGAGATGACAAGGTGGCCGTGGTCCTGCAGGGCGTACCTCAACTGCAGCCACTTGAACGCTCATGCTTGGAGCAACGTAGCGATGCTGGGTCTGGCCCTGCTCATGGTGTCATGGCAGCAATGGGGCTGCTCATGTTGCTTTTTCCCCCCAAAAATATCACTTAGATGGACAAGTGGTCTCTAAGAGACCGCTGTCTCCAACATCCCCTTCATCCTCAGAACATCCTGTCCTTTGTAGGGACAGACAAAATGTCAGTTCTCAGTTCGAGGAAAAAGCAGAAGCTGATACTTTATTCAAATCATTTGCCAGCACAATGTGTTGGGTAGAGGAAAAAGAATAATTTTGAAGAATTTAAACAAAATCCTTGATTTTTTCCCTCCTTTGGGTGTAATGACTTTCAACATCAGATGGAGTCAGGCAAAAAGGGCTTCTCCCATGGGTAATTGGCTAAAAATTAAAAATAGTGGTTTTTTTTCTATTTTTTTTCTCTAATTTCCCAAATTGCCAGTGTTGTTTTTTTCTTCTAGCTTTGCCACCACTCTGGCATGGCAGGGACCAAGGTCTTGGAAGATCAGACTTCCAGGTTTTCACAGAATCACAGAATGGTAGGGGTTGGAAAGGACCTTTGGAGATAATCCAGTCCAATCCCTTGGCAAAGCAGGGTCACCCAGAGCAGGTTGGACAGGAACACGTCCCAGGTAGGGGTTGAATGTCTCCAGAGAAGGAGACTCCACTACTCTGTGCTGAGGTCAGTGCAGTCAGGGCAGCCTCGTTCTCCAAAAGCTTTTGGCCACTCAATGCTCCGGCCACTTCTTTCTGATAACCATGGTGTGTAAAGTTCTCCTTGTCCTTTTGGGTTGGGCTGGTGGGGAATCTGCTGAGCATCCAGGCTATATTGGGGCCAGGCAAGGGCAGATTCTCAGCCCAGTTGCTTTCTCATCTTCTTTTCCAGAGCCACATTCCCCTTCTGGCCTCCGGGCACCCGTCAAGTCCTGCCAGTACAATGGGACGACCTACCAGCAAGGCGAGATGTTCACCACCAACGAGCTCTTTCCCAGCCGCCAGCCGAACCAGTGTGTGCAGTGCAGCTGCTCCGTAAGCTACCTGAGAGCCCATGGGAGGTGGGGAGGGCTTGGGATCTACTTCTGCACCCCAACAGTGTCCCACCAGGTCAAAAACCTCATGAGAACCATTTGGTGGTACCAGCTTATGGTGGGATGGTTTATCATCAGGATCAGGTTATCAGTGCAGGAGATTGAGCTTCTTCTGAAGAGGTTCTGGGTCCTCCTTGACCAGTGACCAAGGACCACCACAGAACTTGGTGCTCCCCCCTCAGCCAGGTGCCTTATCTGGCCTTGACCCTGAGCAGGGTGGGCTGCAAATGTCCACTGGGCCCTGGGGTTGGAGCACAAGACACTCACCTGCATCTCCTCCCTGGTGGGAACAGCACAAACAAGCTGTTCCAGGGGTGGGATATTCACTGGAGATCCCACAGGCCAGTTCTGGACCCTACTGGGGCTTCTTGGGGTGGGCAGGGGGACAGCCCTGTCCTCATCGAGCATTTGCCTGCTGAAGGACAAGTGCTGTCCCCACAGCATCCAGCTGTCCCACCTGCCCCTCTGAGGCATCGTATGGCAGATGGTTGGCAAGAGAGGACAACCAAGAGCCTTTTTACCCATGTGCTTGGGGCAAAGCAAGGCAACAAGGACATGAGGTGCCAGCTCTTGGGCTTCAGAAGTTCCTGGGACATCGAAGCTGGTGTTGAGCTGGTGAGATTGAGCTCCAGAAAGGATTTGGTGGCTCCCAAACACTGCTGGGTCACTGTGTCTCATGGTGCCTCCAGGCTTATGCCAGCTCCTGCCTCTAATGGCTGGAGCTCACCCCCGATGCAGCCAGGACATGAGAGCAGAGAGACAGGAGCAGTGGAACCGTAGCAGTCAGAGATGGCAATGGGCAGGCACCTGGGGATCTTGGAATCATAGAATCACAGAATGGTTTGGGTTGGAAGGTACCTTCAAGATCATCCAGTTCCTACCCCCTGCCATGGGCAGGGACACCTCCCACCAGACCAGGTTGCTCCAAGCCCCCTCCAACCTGGCCTTGAACCCCTCCAGGGATGGTGCAGCCACAGCTTCTCGGGGCAACCTGGGCTAGGCTCTCACCACCCTCACACCAAAGAAGTTCTTCCCCATATCTCATCTCCATCTCCTCTCTTTCAGTGTCAAACCCTTCCCCCTCCTCCTAGGGTTCCTCTCCCTCATCAGGAGTCTCTCCTCAGCTTTTCTGGACCCCCTTTAGGTACTGGTATCTTCTTCCCCCTTGCTTGGATTTAAGTGGAAGCTGAACCCAGGGCTGAGATGTCCTTGAGCACCAGGAGCTGGTCTCATCTGGAAGCTCCTGAAGTGTGTTCACCAGCCCCCTGGGCCAGTGTGTGTGGAGCTGGTGCCCTGGAGAAGGGCTGTGCATGTGCTTTCCAGGCTGTCTACAAAAAGCATTTGCAGTAAGCATCTGCCTTTCACGCTGTTGCAGTGACCTTTGCAGGATCGTTGCATGCCCATCTAGGGCTACAAAGATGATTAAGGGACTAGAACATCTCTCTTACGAGGAAAGGCTGAGGGACTTGGGTTTTTTTAGTCTGGAGAAGAGAAGACTGAGGGGGGATCTGATCAACACCTCTAAATCCTTGAAGGGTTGGTGTCAGGAGGATGGAGCCAGGCTTTTTTCAGTGGTGCCCCGTGACAGGACAAGAGGAAATGAGCACAAACTTGAACATAAGAAGCCTCATCTAAACACGAGGAGGAACTTCTTCACTTTGAGGTTGGCAAAGCCCTGGAACAGGCTGCCCAGAGAAGGTGTGGAGTCGCTTCTCTGGAGACATTCAAACCCCACCTGGACACGTTCCTGTGGGACCTGCTCTGGGTGGACCTGCTTTGGCAGGGGTTTGGACTAGATGATCTCCAGAGGTCCCTTCCAAGCCCTATCATTCTGTGATTTTGTGACTCCTTGATGGTCTTGGCAGCCCTACCTGAGGTCTGCAGCAGCGGCCAGGATGCTGTGTGGTCCTCAACATGCATCCCCTTGATGGATTGCCCATCCACCACCCGTTGCCAGCACTGGAGGAATGTTCCATCTCCGTGAGCCTCCAGTAATGCCCTGAGACAGGGCTTGGCTCCACTCTGCCCAGGTCCCTCCCACGGGCTGGGATCCTGCAAAAACCCATCAAAACCCAAGTCCTGACACTTCTTTTGGGAGACATGAGGCAACTGGGCCAGCGGCAATGGGGAAAGTGTGTGGAACGTGGAGCCGTGTGTGCCAGGAGCTGAGTGTTGGGAGATAAATGGAGCAGCTCCTCCTCCTTGAGAGGGAGCGAGGAAGGGGGATTGAAAGTACCAAGCTTGGACTTTGAAGTTGTGAGGAACTGCTCATACCAGCAGCAGTCTTTGGCATAAAAAAGAAGAGGGTTGCAGACGTGGCTTTCACCTTCCATCATACGGAGACCTTGGATGGGACCAGGCTCCTCTGGTCTGTTCTTTGCTTGTAGCAAATGATTGGACTAAGCTTGGCTAGGAAATAAAAACGGGTGAGAGCCCAAACCACCTCCCTGTCTTGTGCCATGGGCACGCATATGGTGGTTGCCATCAGCTGATGGCTGATGTGATCTGTGCATTGATCCTGGCATCTGTGATACCAGGATCGATGGTCTGAGCCTTTGGTGCTTGTCCATAGAATCACAGAATCACAGAATCTTCTAGGTTGGAAGGGACCTTAAAGATCATCTTGTCCAACCGTCAAAAAAAAGACACCCACACAACAAACAAGGAGCATCATCACTAAACCATACCTCCCAGCACTTCATCAACCCATCTTTTGAACACCTCCAGGGATGGTGCCTCAACCGCCTCCCTGGGCAGCCCATTCCAATGGCTGATGACTCTTTCAGTGAAAATTTTTTTCCCAAAATCCAGCCTGACCCTCCCCTGGTGCAACTTGAGGCCATTTCCTCTTGTCCTGTCACCTGTGACTTGAGAAAAGAGACCATGTCTCAGAGCCAGGTGGCTTGGAGTTAGGTGGCAAGAGGAATAGCTTAAATATAGAGATTATACAGCTTTTGAGGCTGGGGCTTCTCTTACGGACCCCAACTGGCTGCCAGCCCACCAGGTTGGGGAGAAACACCAGGAAGGAGCCCTCAAATCCAGCTGTACGTGTCCACCTGGCCTTGCTTTCCTATCTCACCTGCCACCATCCCCAGGAGCCTCTCGGAGGGACTGGCTCTTGCTCAGGCTCTGTTTATTCGGTGGGATAATGCCCTTGGATACGAAGGGGAAAATAAAAGGGTGGCTGTGGAGCTTTGCAGAGGCTGGGTCTGGCCGGGCTGTGTCTGATGTTGTCAGCTGCTAGAACAGCTGCGTGAACAGCTGGTCTGAACCTCTTTGAAAACTGCCCCGGGACCAGCGCCTCCGGGATAAATCCTGCTTTTTATGACATTTGCTCTTTCCTGCCTGAGGCAGGTCTTCGCCATGAGCTGCTGGTCAGAAGGAGAAAGGATCTGGACTCCGTGGAGGTCATAGAATCACAGAGTGGTTAGAATTGGAAGGAACCTTAAAGCTTATCGAGTTTCAACTCCCTGTCCTGGGCAGGGACACCTCCCACCAGCCCAGGTTGCTCCAAGCCCCCTCCAACCTGCCCTTGAACCCCTCCAGGGATGGGGCAGCCACAGCTTCTCAGGGCAACCTGGGCCAGGCTCTCACCACCCTCCCACCAAACAAGTTCTTCCCCACATCTCATCTCCATCTCCCCTCTTTCAGGGTCAAACCCTTTCCCCTCCTCCTAGGGCTCCCCTCCCTCACCAAGAGTACCTCCCCAGCTTTCCTAGAACCCCTTTAGGGACTGGAAGGCCAGTATAAGGTCTCCCCGGAGCCTTTTCTTCTCTAGGCTTAACCTTCCAGGCTGAACCCCCAACTCTCAGCCTGTCTTCATTTGAGAGCTACTCCAGCCCTCTGAGCATCTTTGTGGCCCTCCACTGGACTCATTCCAACAAATCCATGTCCTTCTTGTACTGAGAACTCCAGGGCTGGACTTTGTGGCCCTCTTCTGGACCCACTCCAAAAGGTCTGTGTCCTTCCTGTGCTGGGAACTCCAGAGCTGGATGCAGTACTTCAGGTGGGTTCTTCCCAGAGCAGAGCAGAGCAGAGGGGCAGAAGCACCTCACTTGATCCTTAGGTCCCTGAAGCAGAGAGCAGGGTTTGGTTTTCAGCAGCCTCCTCCAGATCCTCTCATTTACCAAACTTTCTTCTTCTTCTTCACATTCCTTGCACTCACAGTGGTTTGGCTTCCTGATGGTAGAAGAAGCTGCTGTGGTTCAGTTTTCTAAGGAAATCTTTGGTTAACCTCTCGGTTTCAGTTGACTGAGAGTTTATGGATACCCCAGAAGAAACTGCTCCATGGAGAAGAGGACCATGCTGTTGAGGTCTGGCCACTGCTGGGCTGCTGAACATCCTTTTTACCCTTCTTTAAAGCAGCAAAACCTTAATCCTGCAGCAAATGGGTGCAAATCCATTGACTGACATGGGACTGGGATGCACCGAGGTCAAGACTGGCCTTGGCCCATGGTTTTCAGCTCGAACGCTACCAATGATATTTACCAAACTAACCACCAAGCCAGTGGAAGAAGGTCTATGCTTGGACGTCCATCCACGGCTCTCGACCCATTGTCTTTGTGTGCCTGGTTCTGGTGTTATCGAATAACCTGAGACAGAGGGAGGACAGAGCTGTGGCCTGGACCTGGGTGGGGGTTCCCCTTTCCACCTTTCCTCCAGGCCCTTGGGCTGGGAGATGTCAACGAAGGTTGTTGGTGGGTGTCGTGAGGAGTTTACAGGTGTGTGGTGGCAATTTCAGATCTGGTAGTCCTAACCATGGCTGAGAGAACGTGGACTGGCAATTGGTGGACACCACCCACTGTGCAAGATGGAGAGTATGGCAAGGGCAGATTTTCAGCTTTCATCAGTGGTAGATGATTGGTGATATCTGGGGATGGAGCACTGGGGGGCTTTTGATTGGTGCTAGATCTGCAATTTGAAGCTTTGGCACCCCGACACGGGTGACACACACCCCTGTCCAGACCTTGATAACACTGAAAAGGCTTTTTTTTCTTTTCTCCTGTCTCCCAGGAAGGCCAGATTTACTGTGGCTTGATGACCTGCCCAGAGCTGTTGTGCTCCTCTCCCCTAACTGTGCCAGATTCCTGCTGCCAGGTCTGCAAAGGTAATGAGGGGCCCAGGAGCTGCTCCTGAGTGAGGGCTGGGAGACCCCAGCCAGTTGCCACCAGCTGGTAGGAGCCATTGCAAGACACTTCTGCAGGATTTTGGAAGCCTGTGCTGTAAATGAGGCCACTTGCTCTGTCTTGGTTGCACCAGGAAACAAAAGATGAGGGTTCCGTTTCTCTCTTGGATGCTTCCCCTCCCACATTTAGCTGTGTCCTGCCTCCATGTAGCACGTATGGTGGCCAAAGCTGAGCTCTTTGCCCAAGCACTGGTGCAATCATGCAAGAGATGTGACCTGCGTGGAGGGTGGAGTCCTCCAGACCACTCAGCCACCAGGATGGAGATGGTTGTATGGACCATGTAAAGATTGTACATGTTGCTATTGCTTCAGAGAAGTTTCCAGGACAGTCAGGGAACCCTTCTCCTTTCCACCCCAGTAAGGCATGGTGGAGTCTCACTCCCACAGCTCTCCATGGGGGAGAAACTCTTGAATTTGCTGCTGTTTCCCCTGACTCACACCTGGGAGGGTGAGGAGAGAATCAAACTCTATGTCTCCAAATGAGACAGACCCAGGAGTGAACGGGCAGGTTCACACCTTGCTGACAATGAAGTCACAGCATAAAATGACTCTTTAATACGAGAAATATTTATGAAGATGGAAGGCCATGGTGGTCTCCTGGCCATGGACACAGAATGACCTCCTCTAGGTGCCTCCTCCCAACTCTCTCCTTCTGCACTTTGTGTTCCTCTCTCCTAGTTTTCTTTGGTGCAGATGGGGCATGTCATTAACTCAGTAGAGAAGTGTCTTTGGATTTCTTTTAATGCCAGATCATCCCCCTCACCTGATAATCTACTTCTGGGGTGTTTTCATGCCACCTAACTTCAGAAGCCACAAAGCCATGTCTTCCTTGGAGCTGAGCTCTCATTAGTAGTCAGTGGGGATAAAAGGGGTTTGGGGCTATGGCTCCAAAGAGCTCATTTCTCTCCAGACCTCACAAGTGGACCAGCACCCTGAAGAGAACTCCTTTTAGTCAGTTGGGCCCCAAAGAGAAAATCCTCATCCAGCCCTGCAGCATTTCACAGGACAATGTTTTTTTCCCTTGCAGATGGCTCATTTGAGAAGTCCACGGAGGAGGAACCCCTGCAGTTAAACAGAGGTGTTGTACGTGACATTTGCATTTTAAAACTCAGAATATTGCTTCTAGCACAGCCCCATTAGACAGCTCAAAGAAAGCCAGTTGTCCTTCACCATAGTCTTCTGCAAGGAAATGTCCAATAGCAGCTCTAGGAGGTAGTTGGTTCCTTGGAGAGGAGAACCACAGACACCTGGTTTGCAGATGAATCATGGCTTGGTGTTGTTTCTAGGGGAGGGCCATCAGCACAGGCTGAGACCTCAGACCACCAGGGAAAGACTCCTGTCCTCTTCCTGTGAAGCATCTCTGATGTCTTTGGAAGAGCAAAAGACGTGCAGGAACTGGAAACCTTGGGTACTTCTCCTTCTTCTTGGCCAATCTGGCTGAGGTTGGCCAATAGGTTAAACCAGCTGAGGAACAAGGTCAGAGCAGACTCAGAGGTGACCAACAGCCAGATATGACCCTTCCCCATAGAGTCAAATGGGCCAAATCTCTCTTTGGGGGCTTTTGCTTCAGGAGATGGTGTATCCTCTCCACCTTGGGCTCAGTGGTGTCCTGCCTCTCAGTAGTAGCTCCCACAGAGCAGTCAGTGGTGGAGCTGGCCACCAGCATGCTTTCCCAGGCTGTTTGTATCGGCAGCCCCAGCAAGGAAAAAGTGACTCCTTGGCTGCTGAGGGTGGATTCATGGTGACATTTCAGAGCTGGGCAGCCCATGCCAGGTCTGTGGGATTAGGTCACTTACAGCTCCTGGCCCTGCCCTTTTTCATACTGCTGGGTGAAATGCCAGCGTCACACCTCCACCACCTATAAAACCTCCAAAATAGACACAAGGAGACCCTTTGTGCTGCGTGTCATGTCCCAGCAGTTTGCTCTTGGAAGACCGGGATGTTCTTGGGATTTCAGTCTTGCTGGCTGGTGGCTCCACCACCAACCCTCCTGGTGCCAGCCAGGTGAGAGTGTAGGACACGGCATGTCCTACCTCTCTGATTCTGGTTGGGTTGCACGGATGCTGGTCCTCAGTTTCCCAGCAGGCATCTAAAACAGACTAGCCCATTTCCCTGCCCATGTTGGGGATGTAGGACCTCACCTGAGGGCATTGGGTTGAGTGTGGGATGAGAAGGGTGATGCCCCAATGAGGGTGACTCACCTGCAGCAGAGGGAGGACACCAGTGTGGGGCATTGACACAAACTGCTCAGCAACCCTTGGGTGGTTGCAGGCACCTGGGTCGTTGCTCATCCCTATGGACCTTCCATTCCTGATGGAAGGTGTGCATGGCTTTTTCCAGCATGTTTTGGAGCAAGAACAACCCAACTGCCAGGGTCTGAGTCCCCTTCTTTTCTCTGACTGCTCACAGAGGCACTCGCAAGACCAGTGTTTGGGAGAAGCAATGGGCAGGAAGCCACCTGGAGCCACCATGTCCACTGTTCTCAGTTCTTCCCTGGAGTTCATTCCCAGGAGCTTCAAGCCCAAAGGAGGAGGTGGCACCACTGTGAAGATCGTCTTGAAAGAGAAGCACAAGAAAGGTAAGGGATGGAAGGGCCAGTTTTCCACCACCGAGTCCCACCTCCCACTCCTCATCCATCTACCTCAGCCCTGGTGTCCCACAGCCTCTTGACTGCATGAATCTACCACTTCCCAAAAACAGTTGGAATTGTTCCTTGGGGTGTTTTGGAGATCTGGGGCTTGGGAAGGGAGGTGCTTTGCTGGAAGACTCCACATGGTCCTTCCAGGACTGTGCCGCAGAGGGACAGGATGTTCCTCCTTGCACCTCCCCACCACATGTTGGGTCTGTCCCAGTGCTGTGGTCTTTCTCCCAGAGTAGAGAGTAGGAAAGTGAGATGAGGAGGCAACTCCATGGAGCCAAAGGGGGAAAGACAGGTCCCTTCTCCTCTTGGGGGCTCTCCCACCACTGTGTCTCCAGAAGAGCTCTTTCCAGTCCTTGAAGATGAAGCCCTGGAGGAAATTTTGGGACCTCCAAAAATTTTCATGGAGGAGTCAGCAGGTGGCACTCTTCACTGTGCTTCATGCATGTGACAGCCTCGGAGAGACCCTGGGCTTGCAGAAGCTTGGAGGCAGGTGAGGTCCTGCCCACACTTTCCACTTGTCTCCACCAGGGTGGTTGACCTCAGTAGCCTCCATCTCCTGGACCGTGATCCCCTGCCTCATGTCACCTCCTGGGTGGGGTGGCTGCAATATCCCAGTGTTCATTGGTGCTGGATGTGCTGCCAGAGGACCATGCTCCTCAAGACAGCAAGGACCACCCATTTCTGAGATGGTGAAATGTGTTGAGCTCCACCAAGCCTTGGGTATACGAAGAGGAGGAGGATGATTTATCTCCATCAGCAACTTTTTTCTCTCTCTCCTCCAGCTTGTGTTTACAATGGAAAGACCTACTCCCACGGGGAAGTGTGGCACCCTGTCTTCCGGCTCTACGGCCTCCTGCCCTGCATACTCTGCACTTGCAGGGATGGTGTCCAGGACTGCCAGAAGATCACATGCCCCAAAGAGTATCCATGTGACTATCCAGAGAAAGTAGATGGAAAATGCTGTAAAATATGTCCAGGTAGGTGAGATCCCACCTGCTCCTGCAGCTGCCTTCCAGTTCCTTCTTTTAGCTTTGGTTTAAAGCCCAGAGCAGATGTCTAGGTGTTCACATCATGGGTGACCAGGCCACAAAGAAGATCAGAGGGCTGGAGCACCTCTACTATGAAAACAGGCTGAGAGAGTTGGGGAGGTTCAGCTTGGAGAAGGCTCCAGGGAGACCTTGGAGCCCCTTCCAGTCCCTCAAAAGGGGCTCCAGGAAAGCTGGGACTCCTGCTGAGGGGAGCCATAGGACAAAGGGGAAGGGTTTGACACTGAAAGAGGGGAGATTGAGGTGAGATGTGGGGAAGAACTTGTTTGCTGTGAGGACGGTGAGAGCCTGGCCCAGGTTGCCCCAAGAAGCTGTGGCTTCTGCATCCCTGGAGGGGTTCAAGGGCAGGTTGGAGGGGGCTTGGAGCAACCTGGTCTGGTGGGAGGTGTCCCTGCCCAGGGCAGAGGGGTAGGAACGAGATTATCTTTAAGGTTCCTTCCAACTGAAACCATTCTATGATTCTATGACCTGAATTCACACCAAGTGACTTCAGCAGGGCAAGGACTGATGTAAGGGTTGGCCTGTCTTGGAGGGCCAAGGTGAGGAAGCTGCACCGATCCCAAAAGGTTGCGTCTGTTGGGTGGGTGCAGTCTGGAGAAAGATGCCTGAGGAGGGAATTTCTAAGAGTCTTCAGAAAGGTGGAAGATGCTTTCTGGGGAGAGGGTACAGTCTGTTCTCCAAACCTCCAGCTGGGCCAAGAAGCCATAGGGTTAAATTGTGGCAGCTGAATCGTAGGTTTGAGATTAGGAGGACACTTCCCAGGTGCAGGGTTATCTGTGGCACTCATGGTTTGTTTGAATTTGAGTTGAGGTCCCCGTCCAAGAAAGGGGAGGTTTAGAGCCACAGTTATTGGGGTGGGCCAGGTAGAACTGGGCTGGTGCTGGGACTGGGACGTGGTAGAGAGGATCCCTCTTTTTCTTTCATGTTCGAGGAGTTTTGGGTCTCTCAGCTGCTTCTTGGTCTTTGGAAAGTTGTTTACCTTAAACCAAGGACCTGGCAAAGATGTGATGGGGCATGAGATCTTCTCCTGTTCCCACTGGAGATTGTTTTCTCCCTGTGCTATCATTCAGCAGTAGATGTTTAGAGGATGGACCACCCACTGCTTCCCTTGAGAGGCTAAAGATACCTGAGTCTCTGAGCCTGACAGCAGATGCAGCAGTTTCTGGGTGATCTCCTCTGATATGCATCTTCAAGATGGTTCTGGGGGGGGTGGATCTCACCAGGGAGTAGAAGCAAGGGGCATCACCACATTTAAGAGTGGGGGCAAACAGGCTGCAAAATAATATCAGCTGAGATTTTCAAGCTTTTCCAGCCTCTGAGTAGGGAGGTTCTGGGATGGCCTCCCCGGGGGAGCGAAGGGCAGAAGCTCAGCTTGTTTTAATAAGGTTTCTGATATGTTTATGAGCAGGATTTATGACGTGGTGCCTGGTGGGAATGGGATGTGATGACTGAGCAGAGCCCTTCCAGTCTTGCATTCTCATTAGAGCGGGTCTTTCTGGTTTAAAGTCTACAACTCTCTCTGCTGGGATCTCTTGTCTGCTGCTCAGTCTTCATTTATTTCCAGTTAGACGCTCTGACCTAGCCAAAATGAGTTTCTTCTTGCTTTCCAGTACTCACAGATAGCGATCGCGCACACACACACACACGTTGCTCAGCCAAGCTACATGCTTGTCCTCTGTTTCACTGCAACGGAGGTTTTGCCCATCTTCTTTTTTCCAGGCACTTTCCATGACTGTCCTCCTCTTCCAGGAGGCTTGGAGAGAAACGCTGAGCCATTCCTATTTGCAAAAAGGGACCCTGATTGAAGGGGGATGGCTGTGATGCGTTGGTGGGATGGGGAAACCATCACAGCTGCTGGGGACAGAGCTGGTGGACGGGGTTCTTGAGTCCCTGCTCCTCTTCCCCAACACTGTTGGCCGTGGAGTGGCTCCAGGGTGAAGCTCCAAGGTTGTTAAATACCTGTTGTACCTGTGAGGACATGTGGTTCCTTCCCCGTTGTGTGAAGGTGGGGCTGCCTCCATCGATGTGAAGAGCAGCCCTGGAGTAGGTGAAGTTTAATGGTCTGGGATGGAGGTTTTCCTGCACCTGGACCCCGCGGTGGCAGGGGTGAGGGTGGTTGGGCTGGGATTGTCCCCCCCTTCGCATCACGCTGAGCCTGCAGAGCTGAACGTTTGTCTTCTTGTTGCTGAAAAATCCCAGCTTTGCAACCCTTTAAATTGGGAGTCCCGTCCCCTCTCCAAGAAGAGTAGCTCAGGACCACCCCAGAGAGCACGGGGGAGAGCAGGATCAGGCCTAAAATAACTGTCCTACTAAAATAAACCCCGCGCGTCTATTTATAGCCAAACTTTCTTTCGAGTAGTGTAAAAAGCTTCAGCATCCAAAATGACGGGGAGAACAAGGCTAAATTCAGCAGAGCTGGGCTCCTCTGCGTTCCAAGGACCACAACCAAAGGCAATAAATCTCCTTCCAAAACCGTGGGGGATTCTTAATTACTCCAGATACGCTAAAAATTAAAAAAAAAAATTAGCAGCTCTCCCTCACCGGGGACGTTGAAAAAGTCACGTAGGGTCCCACCGATGTCCCTGGTAGGGGTCTCCCCGCTGTCGTACCCCATGTGGGGAGGGGTCTAGGGTTGGGGTTGAGCCCACCCGTGGGGCTGAGCTGGGCACGCTGCCCAGGCAGCCCGGCCACGGCGTTGGCTCCTGTGCTGTGGGCTCATCCCTTCACTTCGCTGACGTTCGCTCCTCCGGGACGGCAGCGGGAACGAAATACGAAGTGGGGAATCCAACCTGGGGTAGGACCAAGGTCCCTCCGGCAGGTACGGGGCATCCAGGTGGAGAAAAGCCCCCCTTCCCCATCCCTGCTGGCGTAGAGGCGGCCGAAATGAAGGGGAATGGAAAATAAGGGGGGGGTCTGGAGAATAAGCCTTATGAGGAGAGGCTGAGGGAACTGGGGTTATTCAGCCTGGAGAAGAGGAGGCTGAGGGGAGACCTTCTTGCTCTCTACAACTACCTGAAAGGAGGGTGTAGAGAGATGGGGGTCGGTCTCTTCTCTCAAGTCACAGGCGACAGGACAAGAGGAAATGGCCTCAAGTTGCCCCAGGGGAGGTTCAGGCTGGATATTAGGAAAAATTTTTTCACTGAAAGGGTTCTCAGCCATTGGAATGGGCTGCCCAGGGAGGTGGTTGAGGCACCATCCCTGGAGGTGTTCAAAAGACAGGTTGATGTAGTGCTGGGAGGTATGGTTTAGTGATGATGCTCCTTGTTTGTTGTGTGGGTGTCTATTTTTGTCAGTTAGGTTGACGGTTGGACAAGATGATCTTGAAGGTCCCTTCCAACCTAGAAGATTCTGTGATTCTGTGATAATGGGATGAGCAGATCCACAAATTCTTTATCGACATCTCCCTTTGCTGCTGAGGCACTGAGGGTCAAACCCTGGGAGCCAAGGTCATCGCGTGGCATCAAAGCCAACGAGATGACTTTCCCTCAACTCAGATGCTGAGGTGACATCCTCCAACCTCCTTCCTGCCCCTGTTTAATGAATTCTGTCCTCGTTTTTGCCCAGAAACCAGAGTCAAACCCACTGATGAAATAGTCACCACCCGGTGTGGCAAGAACCCCAACCGCGTCCTGGTGTACATGTTTGTGCCACCGAGCTCGGAGACCTCCAAGGAGATCCTCAGGACGATCGCGATCGAGAAGGAGCCAGCGGAAGAGGTGGAAATCTACAACTGGAAGCTGATTAAAGGTGAGTCCTGGAAGGAAACCAGCCAGCAACGGAGGAGGTGTGTGTGGAAACCTGGTGCTTTCCAAGCTTTGTTCAATTTTTCAGGCTTTTCTAGTGGTGCTCCAGACCTTGTGTAGTGAGTCGAAACCTGCTGACAGCAGGCTGGCTTTTCTAACTCCCTCTTTCGGGCTCTTTTGCTGCAGTTTTATGCAGACCAGAGGCTGGAAACCACTTTTGGCCCCAGTGTACCCTCTCCACAAGCTGCAGTACCGTCTGGAGGCACAGCACGTGGGCAAACAAAGCAAGGGCCATGGGGCTGCTCCTCCAAACCTGCCCATTCTGTGCCAAATGCACATAGAAAACAAAGCAAACAATTGTTCTGGTCATTCCCTATTTTTGCTTTTGCTCTTTCCACCCCCCCAAGTCCACCCATCACTGGGAGCAAGGCTTGCAGAGCTGCTGTGAAGGTGCACGCAGAGGGGATGAATTGTCCCCCAGCCTGCTTTTTGGATGGGTGGATTTGGATGGTTCTGTTGGGGTGTCCTCCAGAGGTCAAAGCACAGTGAATACACCATCAAACGACACCAATCTCTTGTTCTGTCCCTGTACCTTTAGCTTTAGAACACTCTTATGGACCAGAGGAGCCTATGTCTACTGGAGACACTTGGTCCAGTAGATATTTGTGTTATCTTTTCTCTTGGGCCCAGGAAAGCATTGCAGTGCCCCAACCCTGAGTTTCTGTTGGACATACTCTACCCCTGGCAAAAACTTTTGCCTTGAGCATTTGAGGTTGGTCGCACCCCAGTATGGATATGGTGACCCTCATCCTGTGTAGCTGGGTATCTTCTGGACATGTCTAGGCAGATATGCTGGACTCCTGGATCTTTTCATGTCTCACCTCTCTCCCTAAGGAGACCTCAGTCCTCCTGGGGCTCGCTCTTAGCAGCTGCTGAGGGTGGGGACATGTAGATGGTAGCTGGAGAAATGAACTCCAGAGATGAAGCTGTGGCTGCCACCATGTTTCCATCCTCCCCCTGCCATCCTCCATCCTCCACGGTGCCCCTCTCCCCGTCCTCCCCCCTGCCTCGGCAAAGCCTCCTTCACAATGGCACCTTGTAGCTGGAGGACAGCTCTGAGCCTGCACTGTCTGGGCCCCACCATTTCCTCTCCTCACTCCTTGGCAGAGGTCGCCACCCAAACCTTCTCGCCACCTTCTGAGGCCAAGAGCTTCACGTCTGCACAGAGCTCCCGAGCCCTGCCAGCCAAGGACAGGGGAGGCCCTTGTCCCCGAGGCCAACACAGCTCTTTTGCTTGGCAGAGCAAAGTGTTACTGTTGGGAAAGAGCATGAGCTCAGTCACATATGGATTCCACCTCTCCATGGTCCATCACTCTACCAACAGAGCAGCGAGTGTGGAGAAAAGAGGCTGCAAGTCACACCTGGAACCCATCCATCTGCCTTTGTATGGGCTTACGATACCTACGTGGCCTCATCTATTTCTGTGCTGGGATGGTTTCCTCCACAAGGCAGGAGTTGGGAGGAGAAACCAGTGCCAACCCCCAGCTGAAAGCTTTAGCCAGCTTGCTGGTGGTGCACCACCAGCTCCCAGATGAGTAGCAGAGGGGGCTTCCCCACGTTTTTAGGGGTCCGAATATCTCTCAAGTTTTGAAATGTGACTGGCTGGTGTTTTAGAGCAGGAATTATCATGGGGAGTGAGGACAATGAAGGAAGAGAGAGAGACCAGTGCGGTTTGGAGGCTCGATTGTTGACTTTGACTCCTGCCCTTCACTTTGAAATGTGACTGGCTGGTGTTTTAGAGCAGGAATTATCATGGGGAGTGAGGACAACAAAGGAAGAGAGAGAGACCAGCACGGTTTGGAGGCTCGATTGTTGACTCCTGCCCTTCATCCTGCCTTGTTGGAGGCCTGGGCTGTACTTGGAGGTATGGTTGCTCCAAGGACCTCTTTCCCACATTTACCCTGCCAGGCCGTCGATTGGACATTGACCAAAATATTCCTTATTGTCCCAAAAACCTGCGACTCTGGGACCTTCAGCGATCCCCAGTGTTCCATCATGCTGATGTACCCTCACATCTGGGTTGGAGGGGGCTTGCAGGGTCTGGACCAGCCGTCTTCATGCTCTCCTGGCATCTACTTGAAGATTCCTGCCGTGGAGACTTGACAGCCCATGTTATCTCTTCAAGAGCTACAAACCCCTTCCTAAAGGAAGACTATTCCCAATGTGTAGCCTCTCGGCGGCTCAAGCTCATGTCTTCTTGCCCTCTCCACCACAGGTGTGAAGAGCAGGCTGCTTTCCTCTGAAGGTGCCATCAGGTCCTGCCTCTGTCCTCTCTTACACAGTTTAAGCAGTTGAGTTTTTTCAGTCTTTTCTTGATGTTAGAAATTTCTGGTCCTTTGGTCCTCCCCATAGCTCTGCTCTGGACTCTGTGTCTTACTTGAAGTTCAGAGACGAAAACAGGGTCTGGTCAAATGTCCTACTGGGTCCCATCCTGCTGGGATGGGTCTCATACCCCGATGTGCACCCCTGTACCTGTCTCTGTCAAAGCTGAAGCTTTGTTTTGCAGATGATTTAGCAAGTATTGAGATCAGTTTCTTGAATGAGAATCACTTCACTCCTCAGCCCAACATTAAGCACCGTGTTTAAAGAGTCATGTTGGTTGTCCATGGAGTCAGCAGAGAGAAGCGGTGAAGATATGTCTCATCCATCCATTCTGGGATGTGCTCTACTGGACTCTGCTCATTTTTTGGTCCAGAGTCATGTTGGTTGTCCATGGAGTCAGCAATGAGAAGCGGTGAAGATATGTCCTGTCCATCCATTCTGGGATAGGCAAAACAGCTCTATGGAAGAGCTTATGTCTCCAAAATTAGGAAAGATGAGTTGTTCCCTTGGAGATGGGGCTGGTCCTCAATTCATTCCTTGTGCTCTACTGGACTCTGATCATTTTTTGGTCTTGAGGCAGTGCCTAAAGCATAGAATCATAGAAAGGTTTGGGTTGGAAGGGACCTTAAAGCCCATCTCGTTCCAACCCCCTGAGATGGGCAGGGACATCTCCCACCAGACCAGGTTGCTCAAAGCCCCATCCAACCTGGCCTGGAATGTTTTCAGGGATGGGGCATCTCCCACCTCTGTGAGCAACCTGGGCCAGTGTTTTCATAGAATCACAGAATGGTTTGGGTTAGAAGGGACCTTAAAGCCCATCTCATTCCAACCCCCTGCCTTGGGCAGGGACACCTCCCACCAGACCAGGTTGCTCCAAACCCCATCCAGCCTGCCCTTGAACCCCTCCAGGGATGGGGCAACCACAGCTTCTCGGGGCAACCTGGGCCAGGCTCTCACCACCCTCCCACCAAAGAAGTTCTTCCCCACATCTCAGCTCCATCTCCCCTCTTTCAGGGTCAAACCTTCCCCCTCCTAGGGCTCCCCTTCCTCATCAAGAGTCCCTCACATCTCTCCTGTAGGCCCCCTTTAGGTATTTTAGCTTAAAGCCATCACCCCTTGTCCAGTTCTAAAAAGTCTGTCCCCATCTTTCTTACGAGCCCCCTTTGAAGCACCAAGAAAAGTGCTAAGTGCTCAACAGCCCCACCACCTCCCTCCATCTCATCCTAAACGTCGCAGAGAACGGTCCTGCCTGGTGGCTGGGATCTGCTCGCCGCGAAACGGCGTCATCTTCTCCCGGCTCCATCCCATATTTCCTCTCTGGTGGACAGCAGGCCTGGTGGGCTATTCTTATCTTGCGCCGCCTCGTGCTCTCCTCGTGCCTGCTGGAGCACCGTCTGCATTCCTCCCCTGCTCCCCAGCTCCTGGCATCTGTCAGAAACCACCATCCCTGGGGCCAAAGGTCTCCGCCGGCTCTCCCAAGGCTTTTGGGTGAACATTATCTAGGTCGGTTGATTAAAAGATGTTTATCTCTTGTAGCTCTTGTTTAAAATATCCTCTTGGTTACTAATGTACTGGAAAGTGCTTCATCAGCCGGGGGGACTATAAGCACACCCTTCTGCTCCTTTCTAAGTATAGACCAGGAGGATTTATTGAACACTTGTGCTTTCCTTGCGTCATTAACAGTTTTATTATCTCCATCCCTGTATCTTCTTTTGTTACTGGTAGGGCTTCTTTTCCTGACCCACTTAAAGGAATTATTAATAGTCCAAATATCCACATATTTCTCCGGATGTCTTCGACTTCCTGTATTAGTTTTCCACAGTCCATAACATCTCGTTTATATGGATTGCTAACCGGTTCCCGTTCGTTACATACTCTTTTTATGTGTAATTGCTGCTGGGAATCAGGGAAAGTCTCTTAACCAAATAAAGGGGGGGACCACGTTGCCTTTCACGTCTGCCGGTGGCGAACGGCCGGACGCAGGAGGAGCCTGGGTGAGAGGTGGGGAAGGATGTGCCAGGCATATCTGCCTGGTTTGTCACGCTTCGCAGGCAAAAATATGAATATCACAACCCCTTAATCCTGCAGAAAGGTCGCTTCCGTTGCTAAATGCAGGTTCTGGTTGTCTTGGGTCAAGTGTCTGAGTCAGGCACCTCCGCTAACGGGACGGTGCTGGCACCGACAGAAATATCAATCTCTGCTGAGGTCATTCGTGGTTTCTGTTGTTTTTTTTTTCTTTCTGTCCTGGAGGAGTTTCAGGGCCGGGGGCAGAGAGATGGAAAACTTTGGTCCCTTGGCTGCTTCCAGGAAAGGAAAGCATCTGAGGATGGAGGGGCCTCTGTGGTCGGGGAAGATAGATGGTCAAGAGCAAGAGAGAGAGGGGAGGGGATCCTACTGATCTCACCTTAATTTCTCTTATGCTTTTGGGGAAGATGAGAGGTCCTCCAGTATGAGATGCTTTCCAGAGTAACAAAATCTCATTCTTTCACCTGTTTTGTGCTGTTGTCCCGGCCGTGTTCTCCTTTATCATTTCAAATGAGATTTCTCCTGGTCCTTGGCCAGTTCCCAAACTCCCACCAGCTTTCGGCAGCAGGTCCCTCACCAAACCAGGACCCCAGGGCATCCAGAGCAGCCCGTGTCCCTTCTGCATCTCAGGAGGGGACAGCAAGTTGTGCATCCAAACCCCTCCGAGCCTTCAACTGAACGTCACAGAGTCTGATGCTCTGTGTTTCCCTCTGCAGGAATATTTCATCTGATACAGACCAAAAAGATCAGCAAACAAGAATTCAAGCAAGAAGCACAGAACTTCAGGCTGATCACCAGGACGAATGAAGGTAGGGAGAGAAAAATAAAACAACAATAGCTCGTTTCCCCTCTCCTCCTGCTGAATCTGCCCCAAACAGCCTCCCTGGCCCCATAGTTTGCTGACCATTCCCTAAATCCCTCCGTGGTGTGGGGAGCTGAGCCGTGGGGAGAAGCTTGTGCAAACGGAGCCGGGTCGGGGCCGACCTGTCTTCACACAAGATACGCAACGCTCCTGGTGAGCAGTCACATTTTCACTTTATGGTATCGGAAAGGGCAGCCAGCTTTCTAAAAGTGGATGCAGGCTTGTGAAATCCAAAGGCTTTGTCTCTCCAAAAGCCTGTAAAACTGTTTGATTTTTATATCTAATCCATCTGGCGTTACACAGGGAGGGCGGGCGGGTGGGGGTGGGAGAAAATAAAAAAAACCAACCCCAAAAATGATGCAAGGCATTTGAAAAAAAGATAAACTCTTGAAATATTAAAAAGAAAAAAAAAAAATCATCCTTAATCTTCTTGGATGTGCGTAAATGTTACAAAAAGCAGGAATGCCAGCGCACATGCCGAGAGTGCCTCTGAAGCTGCCGTGTTATTTCCCTCTGGCTGCCTCTTCGCCGGGGCTGGGTTGGAGTTTAAGGGGGTAGGTTGGGATGGGAGCCCCTTCCCGGATCCTCCAGCACCCACAGGTCATGGGGTCGACTGGGAACGGTGCTGCTGCCCAGTGCATACCAGCACAACCAGTGCCCTGGGGAGGGTGGAGAGTTGTTTTTCACCTCCTCATCCGTTCCAGACGACATCTCTTGACTGAACGAACCTTGGAAGATTTTTTTCCAAGTCCCCACTCCCATGTTTGGGCTTCGTGACCCCATGGCGGGGGGGGGTCTCTGGCACGTGCCCGTTGCTTCTTGCCTCAGTTTCCCCCCCTGACAAATAACCCTGTTGTGAAACCATCCCTCTGCCGTTGCCGCAAGCACTAGGAAAGTGTTGGCCGGTGATTTCTTCACAACAGGGGATTAATTCAGCCAGAAAATATGCCCCCCCTGGGGATGACGACATTAGGGCTGCATAATCCTTGCTGGGATTACGGGGGAAGCAACCACCTAGAGGGAAAGCACCTTCTGCACCTCTGGGGATGCTGGTGTCTGCCGTTGCCGCAAGCACTAGGAAAGTGTTGGCCGGTGATTTCTTCACAACAGGGGATTAATTCAGCCAGAAAATATGCCCCCCCTGGGGATGACGACATTAGGGCTGCATAATCCTTGCTGGGATTACGGAGGAAGCAACCACCTAGAGGGAAAGCACCTCCTGCACCTCCAGGGATGCTGGTGTTTTTTGGGGGGAGCCAGGAGAGGAATGGGGACACTCTGTGCTGGTTTTTGGGGTGTTTCCCCAGCTCCCACTGATGCATGTGCATTGCAGGGTGCCTGCAGCCCACCGGTGAGGCTGTGGTGGAGGATCTAAGGGGGGTTCTTCTCCTTCTGCAGCAGGATCTTCCCCCGCTGTAGGTCGCAAAGCCCTGCATGAAGAGCCAAGGCTGGGGCAGCAGCAGCAAAACGAGTATGAATGTAGGGGTTTTGAGCAACCCGCCTCCAAAAAATGGGGCTGACAGAAGTGGGGAGAGAATCGTACCCACGTATCCATGGCCCACGAAACGTCGATTTTGCCTTTCTGATGATGAGTCAGAAGACAAGGAAAATGCTTCTTTCCACCAAGAGGCAGGGAGTCAGCCCGAATCCCAGACAAACTGGGAAGGATGTGCCCAAACCACTCACCTTAAAGCCTCCTTTGAGGAGGCAGAGGGAGGGATTTATCCCTGTTTCAGACTGAGCTCCTTTTCTTTTCAGAGCATGCGAGTGGTTTTCAGGGAAAGCGTTGGAAACGTTGGACTTGATGATCCCTTCCAACCAAAACGATTCTATGATTCTATGCTGCTGAATGTGCTGTTAATTGCATTGCAGGAGGTATATAGGGCTCCTCTTGACCTCAAATACCATTTTAATTAAACGATGGCAGAATCTAGGACCAGACCATGGGGCTGCTGATGAGCTGCTCTGGTCGTGGCCGGTGTTGTGGATAGACCTTTGTCCCCATCTCCATCCCAGCATGGTCCTCATGTGTCATAGAATCATAGAATGGTTGGAATTGGAAGGGACCCTAAGGATCATTGAGTTCCAACCTCATTCTTCCAACCAAAACGATTCTATGATTCTATGCTGCTGAATGTGCTGTTAATTGCATTGCAGGAGGTATATAGGGCTCCTCTTGACCTCAAATACCATTTTAATTAAACGATGGCAGAATCTAGGACCAGACCATGGGGCTGCTGATGAGCTGCTCTGGTCGTGGCCGGTGTTGTGGATAGACCTTTGTCCCCATCTCCATCCCAGCATGGTCCTCATGTGTCATAGAATCATAGAATGGTTGGAATTGGAAGGGACCCTAAGGATCATTGAGTTCCAACCTCATTACCCAGGGCAGGGACACCTCCCACCAGACCAGGTTGCTCCAAGCCCCCTCCAACCTGCCCTTGAACCCCTCCAGGGATAAGGCAGCCACAGCTTCTCGGGGCAACCTGAGCCAGGCTCTCACCACCCTCAAAATAAAGTTCTTCCCAATATTTCACCTCAATCTCTCATTTTTCAGCTCAAACCCCTTCCCCCTCGTCCCATGGCTCCTCTCCCTCATCAAGAGTCCCCCCCTCCCCAGCTTTCCTGGAGCCCCTTGAGGGACTGGAAGGGGCTCCAAGGTCTCCCCGGAGCTTTTCTCCAGGCTGAACCCCCCCAACTCTCTCAGCCTGTCCTTCCAGCAGAGGGTCTCCAGCCCTCCCAGCATCTCCAGGGCCTCCTCTGGACTCCACACAACCCAGCTGGAGTTTGTGGGCTGTAAGAAAGCACTTTGCATTTCTTTCAAACCTGCTGTCTGACACCTCCCCTGGGTGCTCCTTGGCTCCTGAGCTGGGATGGACACGGAGCTACATCATTCGTGGTTGTGGGGGGGCCACTTCCACACTGGCCAACTGCCTCCAAACTGGCCACCGTGTCTCCTCCAAACCCTGAGCTGCTCTATCATCTCATAGAATCATGGAATTATGGAATGGTTTGGGTGGAAAGGGACCTTAAAGACCACCCAGTTCCACCCAGGGACACCTCCCACCAGAGCAGGTTGCTCCAAGCTCCCTCCAACCTGGCCTTGAACCCCTCCAGGAATGGGGCAGCCACAGCTTCTTGGGGCAACCTGGGCCAGGCCCTCACCACTCTCACAGCAAAGAACTTCTTCCCCAGATCTCATCTCAATCTTTCCTCTCCAGTCTGGAGGGTGCTGTTTGTGGGATGAATTGTGTTTTCCCACTCCAGGGGTTGTTGCTAACGAGTGTCCCACCTCTGCTCATCCAGGTCACTGGAACATCTTCCGAGCCCAGACGTCAGACCTGAGGATGACAGAGAGCCCAGAGAAAGAAACAAAGAACTTGTAAAGAAAAAAAACACCCTAACGTAGCTATTGATTTATCTACACACACACACACACATACACACACATACACGTATATATGAAAAAAAAAAAAAAAGAAAGTTGCATTATTAAAATAGACTGGCACAGCAATAAAGGGTACACTAGTGTAAATTACAGAAACTCCAGCAAACGAACCAAACCAAAACCACGTTGAAGCCATGGCCGTGGAGGTGCCTCTCTCCGGTGGGAGAGCGGGACGAGAGGCCGCCCGTCGTCTCCTGCCACCGAAGGAGGAAGGAAGGTCTTCTCCTGCTACGAGGGGAGGAAAGAGAGCCAGCAGAGATGTGAGACCTGGTGCCACGTGAAGATTGGGGATACACGTTCCTGACACCCCGGCGTTTCTGAGGAGCATCAGGAGCAGAACGTGACCACGCTTCTTACCAATCGCCGGCGCAAAGGTGACCTGCAAGGAGAGAAAAAATCATCCTAATTTCTTCTCTTGGAGACCCTGTGACCTGCAACGGGTTGGGTTTTTTTTGGCTGAATATCCTCCACCCGGCGTTTCTGAGGAGCATCAGGAGCAGAACGTGACCACGCTTCTTACCAATCGCCGGCGCAAAGGTGACCTGCAAGGAGAGAAGAAATCATCCTAATTTCTTCTCTTGGAGACCCTGTGACCTGCAAAGGGTTGGGTTTTTTTTTTGGCTGAATATCCTCCGAAGGGCATTTCTTGAAAAAATCTTGGGTCTTTTCTCCTCTGTTTCAGCTGGGAGGATTCTTTCCCCTTCTTTGCAGGTCGCTTGAAGTCGTAGTTTTTTGGGAGGACCCACCTGCTGACAGGGTCTGAGACCCCCGAACACTGCGCTAAGGTCGCTACTAAGCATGTTATTATGCTATATATTTATATATATCCTACATAATATCTACTGGGCTGTATTCACAGGAGGGGCATCTCCCAAAGGGCAAACAGGACCATTTCTGCAGCGTGGGGAGGAGGGCCTGCAGCAGCACCGCCCTCCCCCTGTCTGGAAATAGCTTTGGGGGATTTTCAGGTTGTTTTGGTACATGTATTTATCCCCGGTTTCTTGTTTTATTCTGTTTTGATAAATCTATTTATTTGGAGATCCGGATCTGTCTGATAAATCTGATTAAAGCGTCTTCTTGATTCAGTCTCCTGTGATCACTCTCCTTCCCCCCCATAGGGTCTCTGTTACAACTTGGGGGGCCCCTCATTGTGGTGGGGTGGGACCCCCATCTCGGTGGGGTCTTCTCCCCTTGCACTCACTCAGGCAGCATCCTCAGGGATGGGATGTGGGATCGAGGCACGCAGAGAGCATCCCATGGATGCTTTGCTCATCATCGGGGGATCATCCCACTCCATTTTCTCATAATCCACAGCTGGTTTGGGGCTGAAAATGGAGCTTTGGGGCTTGTAGTGGCCACCAGGGTCAGGAGAAGGCTGGGGCAAACCTGGGCCAGGAATCGGGAGGTCCTGGCTTCCTGGACAGGGGAGGAGGGCCTGCAGCAGCACCGCCCTCCCCCTGTCTGGAAATAGCTTTGGGGGATTTTCAGGTTGTTTTGGTACATGTATTTATCCCCGGTTTCTTGTTTTATTCTGTTTTGATAAATCTATTTATTTGGAGATCCGGATCTGTCTGATAAATCTGATTAAAGCGTCTTCTTGATTCAGTCTCCTGTGATCACTCTCCTTCCCCCCCATAGGGTCTCTGTTACAACTTGGGGGGCCCCTCATTGTGGTGGGGTGGGACCCCCATCTCGGTGGGGTCTTCTCCCCTTGCACTCACTCAGGCAGCATCCTCAGGGATGGGATGTGGGATCGAGGCACGCAGAGAGCATCCCATGGATGCTTTGCTCATCATCAGGTGATCATCCCACCCCACTTTCTCATAGTCTGCAGCCGGTTTGGGGCTGAAAACGGAGCTTTGGGGCTGGCAGTGGCCACCAGGGTCAGGAGAATGCTGGGGGCAAACCTGGGCCAGGAACCAGGAGGTCCTGGCTTGCTGGATGGGTGCCCAACGAGCTGCTAAGTGAGTGCAGGTGCTCTCTTTTGGACAGGCAAGTGCTCACGTGGGGCTATAAAGGGATCAAGGGGAGGAACCCCCACCTTGGGGATGGCTGTGTCTTCTCCTTCTCTCTTTGTTTTGCTCCCAAAAAACCAGCAGTTGCTGCCATGTGCTGGGGATGTGGATGGAAAACAGATCTGTGCATGGCCAAAGGATGGAGAAGACAGAGACCAGAGTGTCCACAGCTCCAGGGGACCTGCAGCAATGAGCAACTGGGGATATTGGGAAAAATTTCTTCACTGAAAGGGTTGTCAAGACCTGGAAGAAGCTGCTCAGGGCAGTGGTGGAGTCACCATCCCTGGAGGGATTTCAAAGCTGGGCAGAGGTGGTGCTGAGGGACATGGGTCAGTGGTGGGTTCCTCAGTGTTGGGTTGATGGTTGGACTTAATGATCCAACTTGATGATTGAGGTCCCTTCCAACCTCAACCATTCTATGACTCTATAATCGGAGCAGCTGGTGGGCACTGTTCAGCAGAGCTGTGCCAACTTGATGATTGAGGTCCCTTCCAACCTTGACCATTCTACGACTCTATAATCGGAGCAGCTGGTAGGCACCGTTCACCAGAGCTGTAGGATGATCCAGGGTGATGGGGCTGATGTAGTTAAATTTATTCAGGAAAAAATTCCCAGCGATGCTTGGGGCACTGGGGGGTGTCCCCCGTGGTGAGGATCAAAGGCACGGGGGTGAAGCCACCCTCCCACCCCACAGAGGTGTGCGTGACCCCAGTCATGCCCCAGTGGGGTGGACGCTGCCAGTCCCCAGGCAGAGCCTGACCCCTCATTCGTCAGCCTAATTAACTCACTCTTGCGTGTGCTAATTGAAGCAGAGCTGAGGGCCAATTTACGCTCATTTACCAGGAGCCACAGGCATTTGAAATGAAGCTGCCTGGTTGGGTTCCTTGGGGATGGCTTGGAGAAAACCAGGAGAAACCCCCCCTGGAGAAAACCAAGAGAAATGTGTCACTACCCAGACCAGATGAGCTTTTCTGCAGGTTTCTATAGGTTTCCAAGCCCATATGGGATATATATCCTTAGAGCAACCTTAAGGTCCCTCAAGGGGCTCCAGGAAAGCTGGGGAGGGACTCTTGATGAGGGAGGGGAGCCATAGGAGGAGGGGGAAGGGTTTGACACCGAAAGAGGGGAGATGGAGATGAGATGTGGGGAAGAACTTGTTTGGTGGGAGGGTGGTGAGAGCCTGGCCCAGGTTGCGTGGAGAAGCTGTGGCTGCCCCATCCCTGGAGGGGTTCAAGGCCAGGTTGGAGGGGGCTTGGAGCAACCTGGTCTTCTAAACCTGGTTTCTTCTAAAAAGCAACATGTGTTTGCAGTAACCACAGAGCTGCTGTGCTGCGTCATCCTGGACCTCTGGCTGAGCTTTACCTTGGGTGGGGAGATGTTGAGATTAACAGGAATAAGCAAGAGAGAGTTTCTTTGGAGAGAGGTTTCATGGAGACGCAAGATGGAAATGGAGAAAATGTCTCCTCCCAAGGAGCTTCCCACCAAGAGATGATGCTGCTTCAAGGTCCCTTACTGAGAAACATGGATGGTATTGCCCTGGTGAAGGTGCTCCAAGGTAGACCAGGACTCTGCTGCTGCCGTTGTCCTTGCACTGAAGTAGGTCCTAGCAAACAGGGTTTGATGCTGAGTGCACCCACCACGGAAGGAAGATGTGGAAGCTTCCAAAGATGCCATTTGCATGATGTGACTCTTCCATCCTCCCATAACTTTCTTTATCTCCCAGACCCATCTCACACCCCTGGCCCTGGCTGCCTCCGTCCAACATCTCATCTTCCTTGGCGCCACCTTCTCCCCTACCATCAGGTGTTACACCACTGCCAGCTCTCTGCTGTCTCCAGCCAGGCTTTCTGCTGCCTGGCCTGGTAGTTATCCCTTTACTGCAGCCCCACTTTGGGACGCTGTCATAAAAGGCACCCCATAAATTTTATATTGAACAGTAAAACATTTTGGCCTTGGCTGCTGTTCCCCCAGCAGTGAAGACCAAAGTGGGTGAGCTCCAGGTAGGCTGGAGCCAAGCGCTGAAGCTCGACTACTGGTTCCTGGCAGAGAAAAGGGGGATGACATTGCTTTTTGCTGATTTGGTTGGAAGAATAAGGCTGTAGACATCTCACCTGGAGACATCCTGGAGCAGCGCTGGTGTCTGCTGGCCAAGGGACACAGCCACAGGTGGCACAGGATGGCTTTTCTCCACCCAAGGAGCCCCAAAAGCCTCCTCTCTGCTCCTGTGGTGAGGCAGGAAGGGCTTTTACCCATCTGAAGTGATCCTTGAGCCAAGAGGGATATGAGGAGTGGGCTCAGCTCTCCCTTCAGATGGCAGAGCTGCAACCATGGGTATCTTAGGTGGGTTCCTCACCTTACCCATCCATCCATCCATCCATCCATCCATTCATTCTTATAGAATCATAGAATGGTTAGAGTTGGAAGGGACCTTAAAGATCATCGAGTTCCAACACCCCTGCAAGGGCGTGTCCTGGCAGGGACACCTCCCACTGGATCAGGTTGCTCAAAGTCCCATCCAGTCTGGTCTTCTTCTCCATCCATCCTTCTCCAGCCATAACCTTTTGGACCGTCTGGCTTTTCCTTCCTCACAGTAGCAGGGGAGGAGGAAGACATCACCTTCACCATGGTTTACCCAGAATGCTGGCTCACAGGACTGTAAAAAAAAACATCCCAGAGGAGCACGGGGGACATGTACAGGGGCCACCTGGGCTGGTGACCAACCTCCACACGTAGCACCACCCGGTGACGCATGGCCGAGGAGGGACAGAGGGACTTGCTGTGGGGCTGGACGGGCCTACAAGTGGTGGATAATCTCCTGCAATCGTGTCAGTGATACGCCAGACCCAGCTGTGCCAGGAGCCTGCCCTAATGACCATGTCCCCCCCGCGGGGGGACCTCTTGGAGGCTGCATCTCCGGGGATTAACCTTTTTAATTGGGTCAGCAGCCACAGATCAGAAGCCAACGTTTCACGGTTGGTGGCATCACCTCCCTCACCCCGCTCCTCCTCCCTGCGTCCCTTTGCCTCTGCAGGAGTCACCCTGTTTCCACCCCAAGCCATGAAGCTGGGGTTGATTTGGGGGCAGAGCTGACCCGGCATCGTGGGACCAGTGCCATGTCACTACCCATGGCAGAGTGGCTGGAACCTGATGACCTTTAAGGTCCCTTCCAACCCGAACCATTCTATGACTCTATGACCTTTCATCTCTTGTGACACTGAGCTCCCAGGGCAGGGCTGGACTTTCTCCAGAGGGTTTGAGGGGGCTGCTCCCAAGATCTGCAGGTGATCATCCCACACATGTCGCTACCACCTCTGCTGCAGCCCTGACCACATGGGCCCCCATCCCACCACGGCTGGGGGTACCAACAGGTCCTTGCTGGTTTGTGGAGGGCTGTGGCCACCCT